CATGGCTTGTGTCAGGCGCACCTTAGTCCTCAATGAGATATCCTTGCTCCTCAGCACTTGAAACAGTTCCTTCACAGTTGACTTTCCCAATGCTACACGTCGTCTAATGTCCTGACTGCTGCTTCTGTTGGCATCGATTGTAGAACCAAGCAACGTGAATTCCTTGACAACCTCTATCTTCTCTCCATTTAGTTATTCTTTCTTTTAAAAATAAGGAACCAAAAATTAAGGAAACTTACAGCTGAACACTGAGATGACAATTTTGCAGCAGACTTTTTTGTTTTAACTATTTTGTCTTCTTTTTTAGATTTATTTAGAGTATGAAGGAACATCATTTTCTGAGTGGCATGTCTCAGGACATTGTTCTGTGAAAGATAAAAGGTAAGAGTTTCACTGTGAAAAACAGTGCATGTGTTTATTGACATGTAAGAAAGGATTCATATAGTGTGGAAATTCAGATTCAAGGCTGTGATTTAATGTAAAATTCGTCCCATTAAATAGGTGTAGAAAGAAAGACAAATCACTTTGAAAATAGAATAGAAATAAAATATTGCTGTATTTTTAATTTCTTTTGTTAGCATACAATTGCCTTTTTAAAAATTTATTTATTGTGTTTTAGGTGTAAGTTTACAGAGCAGAGTCTGTTTTACATTCAACATTACATGTAAATTTAGTTTCACTCTCCATTTACCATTCCCAATCCTAACCCAGTCTCCTCCCCTCCCTGCCCAGTAACCCTCCCTGCTGTGCCCCACATAGTTATGAACTCCTGTGTGTCCTGCATTTCCTCCTGCGAATGTGGCTTTCCTGGTGCCCTGTGCTCAATTGCTCCAAGGGATGCATTTCCATACAGTATGTGGGTACATAAGTCTGGGTTGAATGGTCAGCTTGTACATCTTGTTTACTATTGGGCTGAGAGCCAGCCCCTGGGAGTGAGTTTATTTCCAGGCCGAGAATGTGTCCCAGGTGCACAGTATTGGGAGTCTCACTAGGCTCCATCCGACCAGTAATTCTGGTCATTATTGAGGTTTTGGATTTTGTTCCATGTTTTTCTTCCCACTCTATTCAGAATCTCCAGATTTGATTCTTTCCTGATGGGTGGCATTGGTAGCCGGACACCATCTAGTTCTTCTGGTTTCAAGGGCCATCGTGTCCTAGGGCTGATTGCTTCCAAATGCCCTTGTTTTTTTGCACTCTTCTTTGATTCCAATGATAGGAGACCATTAGCTGCATCTTAGATGGCCACGTGAAAGCTTTTAAGACCCCGGTCGCTACTCACCAATGTAGGATGAGCAACAAGACTTTTATGTATTTTGTTGTGCCAATTGAGTCTGGTGTCCCCCAGTACTATGGTCCTGAGTCAGTAAATCTATTGGCTCTCTCTCCCATAGTGTCTGGCTGTGTGTGAGGGATTACTCTATGTCTGTCTTCTGTTGTTTGTGTAAGGATTGTGGGTATTTTATGTCACTGGTATCTGTGCAAGATTAGCCTCAGCTGAATCTATCCTTTGTCTAGAGTGTACTCCTGTTCACTGTCCCCCATCTGATCTTCTCAGAGGTTTATGTGTTTATCTGTAGCCTAGTGTTTGGTGTTAATGGTAATGACTATTGTGGATATACTGGTTGGTATATGTCATCTATATCTTATGTGCATAATTCAGTGTCCTTCCTTTCCCTAATGTTATCATGGTGGTCACAGACTCTTTTTATACCATCCCTCTCCTTACCTACGTCAGCGTGTGGCCCCCAACCAACCTGAAATTAATCCCTACCTTTCCCTTCCCACCCCAGTAATGTACAAAGTGAGTTCCCTTTCTCAGGTAAACCCTTCTTTATCTTTTTATAGTAATGGGCTCATACAGTATGTGTCCTTCTGCAATTGACTTATTTCACTCAGCATAATGGCCTCCAGGCTCATCCACATTGTGAGATGATTCACATATCCTTCATGGTTCTTTAATGTAGCATAGTATTCCATTGTGTGAATGTACCATAATTTGGTTATCCACTCATCCATTGATGGGCATTTAGGTTGTTTCCATCTCTTTGCTATAGTGAATTGTGCTGTGATGAACATAGGTGTGCATATATCTGTTTGTGTGCTGCCTTTCACCTCTTTAGGATATATTCCTAGTAATGGAATTGCTGGGTCAAATGGTATTTCTATTTTCACTTTTTTTAGGGAAACATCATACCGTTTGCCACAATGGTTGCACCATTTTACAATCCCACCAGCAGTGCACAAGAGTTCCAATCTCTCCACAACCTCGCTAACATTTGTTATTTTCTGTCCTGCTGAACTTTGCTATTATTGCTGGCATGAGATGATGTCTCATTGTTCTTTTGATTTGCATCTCTCTAATGACTAAATATCGCATGCAGTTCCTCTTGTGTTTGTTGGCTTCCAGCATTGTCTTTAGTGAAGTGTCTGTTCAAATCTTTTGCCCATTTTTGAAAATTGGATTGTTTGTCTTTTTTTGTGTTGAAGTGTTGAAGTTTTCTATAGATTTTGGAGATAAGTCCTTTGTCAGCTATGTCATAGGAAAATATTTTCTCCCAATCTGTAGGTTCTCTTTTTAGCCTTTTGACAAAGCCTTTCGATGCACATAAGAATTTAATTTTAATATCTTTGATTAATTTTATAGTTTTGGGTTTTACATTTAAGTCTTTGATCCAGCTTGAGTTTGTTTTTGTGTATGGGGTGAAATATGGGTCTTGTTTCATTTTTCTGCAAGTGGATATACAGTTTTGCCAGGACCATTTGTTAAAGAGGCTGGCTTTTCCCCATTTAATGGGTTTTGGACCTTTGTCAAAGATTAGCTGTCCATAGATGGATGGGTCTATTTCTGAACTTTTGATTCTGTTCCATTGGTCTATCTGTCTATCATTGTTCTAATACCATGTTGTTTTGACTACTGTGGCTATATAGTAGATTTTAAGATTCAGCAGGGTGAGACTTCTCACTTTGTTCTTCTTCTTCAGAAGTGCTCTGCTTATCCAAGGTCTCTTTCCTTTCTATATGAAGTTAGTAATTGGTTTTTCCATGCCCTTAAAAAATTTTGTTGGTATCTGGATTGGGATTGCATTAAATGTGTAGATTGCTTTAGGTAGTATTGACATTTTCACAATATTCAGTCTACCTATCCATGAACAATGCAGGTTCTTCCATTTATGTAATGCCCTTGTTGTCTCTTGTAGTAGTGTTTTATAGTTTTCTTTGTATAGGTCTTTCGTGTCTTTGGTGAGGTTTATTCCTAGATATTTTATCTTTTTAGTACCTATTGTAAATGGCATTGCTTTCCTTATTTCATTATCAGAGGTTTCTTTGTTGTAGTAGAGGAATCCAACTGATTTTTGTATGTTGGCCTTGTATCCTGCCACTTTGCTGAACCTCTCTCTCAGCTCCAGTAGTTTTTTTGTTTAGTCTCTTGGGTTTTCTATGTACAGGATCATATTATCTGCAAATAGAGATAGTTTTATTTCCTCTTTGCCAATTTGTATGCCTTTTATTTCTTTTTTCTTGCCTTATTGTCCTGGCCAGGACTTCCAATACAATGTTAATTAGAAGTGGTGATTAAGGGCATCCCTGTCTGGTTCCCATTCATAAAGGGAATGCCTTGAGTCTTTCTCCATTAATAATGATGTTGGCCATTGGCTTTGCATATATGTCCTTAATTATTTTGAGGAATTTCCCTTCTATCCCTATTTTGCTGAGAGTTCTGAACAGGAATGGGTGTTGAATTTTACAAAGTGCCTTTTCTACATCGAGTGATATAATCATATGGTTCTTTTATTTTGTTTTGTTTATGTGGTGGATTACATTGATTCTTTTTTGATGTTGAACGACCCTTGTAAACCTGGTATGAATCCCACTTGGTCAGGGTGTATTAATTTTTTGATATGTTGTTGGATTCTGTTGGCTAGAATTTTGTTAAAGATTTTTGCATCTATGTCCATAGGGGATATTGATCTGTAGTTTAGTGGTGTCTTTCCCTGGTTTGGGTATTAGCATTATGCTTGCTTCATAAAATAAGTTTGGGAGTATTCCATCTTTTTCTATGTTCTGGAATCGCTTGAGTAATATAGGTGCCAAGTCTTCCCTGAATATTTGGTAAAATTCTCCAGTGAAGCCATCAGGGGCAGGACTTCTCTTTGTTGGGAATTTTTTTTTATGACCTGTTCAATTTATTCTTTTTTTATTGGTCTATTCAAGTATTCTGTCTCCTAGTGGAGTAGTTTAGGTAGGTCTTGTGATTCTAGAAATTTGTCCATCTCTTCTAGGTTCTCAAATCTGTTGGCATACAGTTTTTCATAATAATCTGTCAGTATTTTCTTTTTTATTTGTTGGTCCTGTTGTCATGACACCCTTTTCATTTACTATTCTTGTAATTTGCATCTTCTCTTTCTTTTCTTTTGTTAGATTTGCCAATGTCTTGTCGAATTTGTTAATCTTTTCAATGAACCAGCTTTTTTTTGTTGATTTTCTCTATTTTTGTTTTGTTTTCTGTTGCATTTATTTCTGCTCTGATCTTGCTTATTTCCTTACTTCTAGATACTGTGGGATCCTTTTGTTCTTTCTCTAGTTGTTGAGTTAGAGTGGTGATTTTGTTTATTTCCTCTTTTTTTATGTATGCATTTATTGCTATAAACTATCCTCTGAGTACTGCTTTTGCTGTATCCCATAAGTTTTGGTATGATGTATCTTCATTCTTGTTTGTTGCTAGGAATTTTTTTATTTCTTCTGTTACCCATTAGTTTTTGAGCAGTGAATTGTTTAACTTTCACATGGTTGATGTTTTTTCCTTGATCTTTCTAGTATTAATTTCTAATTTTATAGCATTGTGGTCTGAGAAGATGTTTTGTAGTATTTCAACGTTTTTTTTAAATTTAGTGAGGCTTGTTTTATGTCCTAACGTGATGTATTCTGGAGAAGGATCCATGTACACTGGAGAAGAATGTGAATTGTTCTATTGTTGGGTAGAATTCTCTAGATATGTCTAGGAGGTCAAGTTGTTTGATTGTATTGTTGAGTTCTTCTGTATCTTTGTTGAGTTTTTTTCTATTTAATCTGTCCCTCCTTGAAAGTGGTGTGATAACGTCCCCTACTACTATTGTAGAGTTGTCTATTTTCCCTTTTAGTTCAATTAATATTTGCTTTACATATTTTGGAACACTTTCATTGGGTGCATAGATATTTATTATTGTAATGTCTTTTTTGTCAATTGACCGTTTCAGCATCATATAGTGTCCTTCTTTGTCTCTTATCTTGTTTTTCACCTTAAAGTCTATTTTATCAGAAATTAATATTGCCACTCCTGCTCTTTTTTTGGTTACCATTGGCTTGGTATATTTTTACCACCCCTTAACTCTTAATTTGTTTTTATCTTTGTGTCTAAGGTGGGTCTCTTGTAGGCAACTTATTGATGGGTCTTCTTTTCTTATTCACTCTCTTTCTCTTGATTGGTGCATTTAGTCCATTCACTTTGAGTGTAATTAGTGATAGGTATGAATTGATTTCTGTCCTTCTATTGTGTTTTTGTTTTGTTTTGTTTTTGTCATTTTGTTGGAGTTTCCTTGGTCCATAAACTTTTCTATGCTGAGTTGATTTTGTTGTGAAGTGTTTCCTCTCTTTTCTTCTTCATTGTTGGGTTTTGTGCTTGTTAAACCTGTATGTTTTCTTTCCTTCTGGATTTGCTTAGGGGTATTGTTAACTTTCCCTGTGGTTACCTTGGAGTGAATTCTTCTCTCTATATTTTTAGAACAGCGTGTTCTAGGAACACATTGTCCTGTTTTCCTCTCCATTTGGAAGTTTGTTTATTCCCTCTATTTGGTTAGTTGTGTGCAGATTGGCTTCCTTCATTTTTTGTGTACAATGTTTTATGGTCTTATATGAGTGTCTATTTCTGATTTACTTTTAGTGTTGATGTCATGTCTCCTGATTTTTTTGTTCTCTGTTGTGGGTTTTCTATTGGAAGGACTTCCTTAAGCATTTCTTTTAGGGTTGGTCTTGTTTTCACAAAATCCCTTAATTTCTGTTTGTCTGAGAATGTCTTGATTTCACTTGCACATTTGATGGACAATTTGGTTGCATATAGGACTCTTGGTTGGAAGTTCTTTTCCTTCAGTGTTTTATATATGCCATCCCATTGCCTTCTTGCCTGCATGGTTTCTGCTGAGTAATCAGAGCTCAGCCTAACTGTTTGATTATTATAAGTAATATTTCTTTTGTCCCGGGCAGCTCACAAAATTCTTTCTTTGTCTTTGGTTTTGGAGAGTTTGATTATGATATGCCTCAGTGTTTTTCTCTTGGGGTCTATCCTGTATGGGGTTCTATGAGCTTCTTGGACAAATATCTTTTCTTCCTTCCTGATATGGGGGATGTTTTCTGTTAGTAAGTCTTCTACAATTTTCTCAGTGTTTTTTTTTTTTCACCTCTTCTTTTTCTGGAATTCCAATGAGTTGTGTGTTGTTTCTTTTCATGTCATATCATATAACTCTTAGCCTCTCTTCATTTCTCTTAAATCTTTGTTCTGATTTTTCTTCATACAGTGGTGTCCAGGAATTTGTTTTCTAGTTGAGAAATGCATTCTTTAGCCAGTTCTATCCTATTGTTTTGTGCTTCCACTGTGTTGTGAAATTCTGTAATTTTGGTATTCATCTTCTAGATTTCTAACTGCCTTTTTTATATGAGTTCTGCTTGTGCATTAATCTTGTTATTTTGTTCTTAAATGGTTTTCCTGAGTTCTTCTAGTGTACTGTCTGTCTTCTCCTTCCTTCTATTTGGGGTTTCCTTAAGCTCTTGTAGAATTCTATAGACATACCTTCTAAATTCCTTCTCAGATAATTCTATTGCCTCCTCTTCCTCATGTTTAATGAGACTTTTGTTTGGGATTTTACTTCTAATGTCTTATTATTATTATTATTATTATTTGATTTGAGGTTCCCTGTTGTTTCCTAGAGATTTTGAAGTTGTCTTTAAGTGTTAGTTATGTATTGATTTGTTTTGTCTTGGTTTTATGATTTAATATTTCGAATGCAGGTCTCTGTTTTGTCCTAAAGGTTGTTTAGGATTTGAGCCAGCAGATGTTGTGGTGGCTTAATGTGGTTTTTCTACTGGATGAGTCAGGATAGAGGCAGAGAAAGGGGGAAGAAAAGAGAGATAGGAAAAAAAAAACCACTCTGAGGTGCCTTATGTGGTTTCTAGGGCTTTGAGTGGGCTGCTAATGATGAAGTTATGCAGTTACTCATAGGCCTGCAGCTCAAGTTCAGCAAAGACTCGAGTTGTTAAGGGGCTGCCACCTTCTACCAGGTTCAGACAGCTGCAGAAACCCCACTCTCCAGCCCCACACCCATTCCAAAAAGCATAACTAGGATAACTGCCCCAGGCCACAACAGGAGTTTATCCTGGGGCCTGCCCACTTGCGGTGCTCCTGCTTCAGTAGTGCCTGGAGCCAGAGGCATCTCTGCTCCCTCCCAGCAGTCCCAAGTTTACCAATAAAAGTAGGTGCTGAAGGTAGATCTGTGGAGTAGGCAGGTTCTCTGGTGTGGTGCATTCTCTCCACTGCTCCAGGGAGGTCTCCAATGCAGTTTGTTCCCTGCTGGTCAGCACTCTGTAGGGCAGGTTCACCTGGTTTTGTTATTTTTCCCCCTTTGGGTAATTGCAGTGCCCTTTTCTCCTTTCTAATCCTATTCCCCTCAGTTTGCCATGCTCTGACTTAATGAGCTGTTCAGAGCACCAGAATCCCCATTTCAAACTGCTGCACCTAATTTTTCAGGCACTAAGTTGCTAGAAGGAACTTACGTGTGCACCACAGGAGAGACACCATTTTCCTCTTCTTCAATTGACATTTTTAGGCTTAAAAAGCAGTTGTTAGTTGCCATCAAGTTAGCTCCAACTCATGGAGCCCTTATGTGCAACAGAAGAAAATGCTATGCAGCCCTGCACCAAATCCATGATTACTGTTATGTTTGAATCCATTGTTATGGCTTTTGTGTCAGTCCATCTCGTTGAGATTTTCTAAATCTTTATTAATCTCTCATGCATCTGTAGTTATTTTTCCTTTCCCATTCTTTTTAAACACTAGATCAGCCAAGACAGAATTACATTGTTCTTCTCCTGGTTTTCATCTTATAAAACCAATTGTTAAAGGCTCAGTAAGTTGATTTTAATAACTTTCTAAATTTTGAAAAACCTTTCCTGTTACATTTTATTTTACCTATCTTTAGAGCTTTTCAACCTAATTTAACCTGCTTTAAATTGCATTGATTGTACCTATAATTAAGAACTCTTTGCTGTTTATATTTAATATAGCATTAATTTTTAGATGTATCTCATAATGTGCAGCATCAAATTATAAGTTATATGCATATTTTTATACATATAAATAATACATATTTTTGCTTTAGCCTTTTTATTAATAGGTACGTTCAAGTCTATAGTTACCAACTTTTTAGGAATATTATTGTTGTTAGGTGCCCTCACATAGGTTCTGACTCTATATTCAACAGAATGAAAGGCTGCACAGTCCTTCACCATATTTACAATTTTCTGGTAAGAGTACTCTCAAATGAGTAGGTCTCATTTATGCCATTTCTTCCTTTGACCACACCCAGGATTAAAAGTAGTTTTTCCAGATTTGTTTTTTATCTCACTGCTTTTCCTTCAAGTCAAGAAACCATATGTGAATGCAAATTAGTAAGAGTGATGTGGACTCTTCTCTAGTTTACAAATTAAAGTAATAATAATAAACAGATAAGCATTTGAAGACATTGCACTTTTAATTATTAACAAAATACTGGCCACACACCTCACAGCTGATATTCCCACTCAAATGTGTCTGAAACCACTGTTCTGGACAGTCCATGGGATACATCTTGCCTTTATTTTGGGGCTCATGCTTTCTCTTTAATTAATAATCTTTATTTTCAGGAACAAGCAGGCAGTAATGTGGGAGAGACTAGATGCATATTAACTTTGAATTTTTCTTTTTTTGACTCCATGAATATTTACCAGTTTTAAGAACATAATTCCAAAAGAAGTAAATGATTTCTTCTCTTTTGTTTTATATTGGAAGCCTATACAAATGTGCAGTAGTATGTAAAAATTATTCACACACACACATATATAAGAATATCTTTATCATTTATTTATGGTGACATCAGATCCTACAACTTGTTAAGAAGGTACATCTGAGTTTTGAATTATACTCAAAAGCACTCAGTTATAACAACTAAAAACGTTTCCAGACATTGCCAAATGTGACCTGGGAACAAAATTGCCTTGGTTGAGAACCATTGAATGATACAATTAATTGAATCCTATTTCAATGAGGAAGACAAATATAGTAGAAATGATAAGGTTAGCAAGATAATGAAATGTTTCCTAAATTTTCCATTCGTGATCATAAATTCTTCCTTTCAGAGAGTGGCTAAAGAATTGAACTAGTACTAAATGTATATTTATTAATTCTACTCTGAAACCTACTCATTATTCTTCCTCAAATATTAGACAAGTAACTTAGTTTCTCTGTGATTTTTATGTCTATATCCAAATTTGTATTCATTATAAAGTTAATTTAATATATCATTATTTCTTCTGTATTTTCTTTGAGGTACAAGAAGAGCAACGCTATCTGTTTGTGGACAATTCTCATATTTGCTTTCTGTGGTATTATAGAGTTATGTAAGTAATATGGTATTGAACACAAAGTTAACTAATGCTTTTTAAAAGTATTTAGCACAATTTTTAATTTAAAACAAATAGATTATCTATATTTTGGTTTCCATACAAGCTTTCATTCACCAACTAAAACCTATCCACTTCCATCGATTCTATTCTGACTCATAGTGACCCTATAGGACAGAGTAGAATTGCCCCATAGGATTTCCAATGCTGTACATTTTTACAAAGGCAGACTACCTCATCTTTCTCCTGCAGCATGGCTGGTGCATTCACTTACTGCCAAACTAATAATGAAGAACAAACAAAAAAATATCAATAGTAACCACTATTTGAATATGTGCTGTGTCTGTATGTTCATACTTAATATATATTGTCCCTCTTGATGTTCCTAATAACCCCATAAACTAGGCATTATTATCTATTTTATAGATGAAGAAACATAAGCTTGAATAGGTTAAATAATTTGACCAAAAATATACAGCTGTTGAAAGATAGCATTGAAATTTGACTCTGGTCTTTCTGACTATAAGGCTTCTTTTCTCTATTACATACATTCCAAAAAGACTCTCTTCAATCCCATTTTAATAGGAGACTTAAAGAATGAATATAACTAAGAAGGGAAATCCAGTACATGCACACACACACACACACACACCAATAATTAAATGCATTAAAAAAATCATTCAATGTGTAAGACATGTCAATGAATCACAAAACATTTTAGTATAATGTTGTTGTTGTTGTTATTTGCCGTCGAGTCGGCCCTGACTCATAGCGACCCCTCCTTGGGTTTCCGAGGCAGTATCACTATGGAAGTAGGATTGCCCAACCTTCCTTCCAAGGAGTGGCTGATGGGTTTGAACCACCAACCTTCTGGTTAGCAGTCAAGTGCCTTAGGCACTATGCTACCAGAGGTCCTTTAGTGTAATAGCCATAGGAATACCCAAAGCACTGTATAGGCTACAAAGAACTATATTATATGGTTTCTGCCCTCAAATGAATATAATTTACCTATTTCCTTTTATCTACTCTTTTTTTGGGGTAGCTATTACTTCCCTATGCTATGATAATATTTTTAATTTCATGTGATTTTCTGGATACTAACTCTACAATGCTATGTTTCATTGGCTACACTTATTAATTGATAAATTGTCAAATGATCCAGGCAAAACCAATCAGAATTCTCATGCCTTCAATAAAGCACGCTTATGACTTTAATGTTCTGTTCCTTTAAAGTCAGATGGTTCTGCAGTTTATGTGCAATTTTGAGGCTGGAAATCCTGAGGGAGGAAAGTCATGCCAACTAGGTTTCTGCAAGTCCTGCCTAGGTGCACAGTTAAGGCATTCTTCTCTGAATTACTGCCACCTTCTCAGAGAGGTACTAAGAAGCTACTCATGAACCTGGCAGGTTTCTGTCCTTCTGGGGTTTTGAGAGGTACTGTATTAGGCTGGGTTCTTTAGAGAAACAAAACCAGTGAAGAGAGAGAGAAAGAAATTTATCACAAGGAAATAGCTCACACAGTTATAGAGGCTGGCAAGTCCCAAGTCCATGTGTCAGACATCAAGTTGGAGGCTTCTCCTGAGTCACATACCTGCAGAGGCTGACAAACCCAAGATTGGCAGGCAATACAGCAGGCTGCTGGCTTAAAGGATGATGAATCCAAAATTGGTAGGTAAAATCACAGGTTGTTGACTCATAGACTGCAAAGGCAACAATCCTAAGATTGGCAGACAAAATGGTAGGCCATTAGTTCAAGTCCAGATGATGATCAGCCAGATGCAGGATCATGAGCAAAAAGCCACAGCTTTGCCAGATATGTATTGGAAATAGACTGTGCCTTGAAGGAAACTCCTTCTCAACTGATTGATTGCTCATAGAAGATCATATCATGGAGGTAGGAGATTGCATTATATCAGAGTTCATCATGGGAGATGACTACATCATAACTGCTAAACCACTTAGAATCGTGGCCCACAAGTTGACTCATCACCTTAACTATCATATGTACCAATCAACAGCTTTTCCTCCATGGGTTCTGAGCCAATTGTAAAATAGAGAAAGGCAAAATTGTTGATAAAATTCTTGTTAATTCTTAATTGGAGAATTGAGGAGTCTCTCCTAAGGGGAGACCTTAGGAACTGTAAGAATGGAGAGTGTCCCAAGAAACCACTCACAATCAATTTCATCCATGGATTAAACATTGGACCTCAAGAGTTGAAAGAGATGGGATTTAAGGAATTCTGGTGGTATAGTGGCTAAGACATTTGGGTGCTAACCAGAAAGTCAGTGGTTTGAACCCACCAGCTGCTCCGTGGAGGAAAGATTGGGCTGTCTGCTTCTGTAGAGATTTATAGCTTGGAAACCCAATGGGGTCACTATGAGTTGGAATTGACTCAATGACAGTTTTTTTTATCCAAATATGATCCCTTCATGAAAGCAAAAATGGAAGGAGAAAGACCTATCCAGGGATCAGCCTAGCCCCAAAGAGAGAACTCAGCAGGGGCTAAGTGTTTTTCTGTTACATATGTTGTAAAAAATTTGGCAGTCACCATAAACACATCCGTTAAAAAATAATAATGAGAGAAAACTTACAGATTAGAAAAAAATTGGGGGAACCATATATAAGTATGAAATAGGAAAATTGGAAGTTGTCAAAAATGAAATGGAACACATAAAGATTGATATCCTAGACATTAGTGAGCTGAAATGGACTGGTTTTGGCCATTTTGCGTCAGACAGCCATATGATCTACTATGCTGGGAATGACAATTTGAAGACGAATGGTGTGGCATTCATCATTGCAAAGGATGTTTCAAGATCTGTCCTGAAGTGCAATGCTTTCAGTGGCAGGATAATATCCATATGTGTTCAAGAAAGCCAGTTAATACTACTATTATTCAAATTTATGCACCCACCACCAAAACCAAAAATGAGGAAATTGAAGATTTTTACCAACTTCTGCAGTATGAAATTGATCAAACATGAAATCAAGATGTGCTGATTATCACTGGTGACTGGAATGCAAAAGTTGGAAACAAAGAATCACCAGTAGTTGGAAAGTTTGGCCTTGGAGATAGAAATAATTCTGGAGATTGCATGATAGAATTTTGCAAGATCAACAACTTATTCATTGCAAATACCTTTTTTCAACAA